ACATATATACATATATACATATATTGAGAATATACTGCACAAGATAATCATTATTGTATTATAGATATAGATTATTATTAAACATATAATAATATTTTCAAATTATTTCTTACTTCTAAAAATTTTGGTTTAAATACGCAAATTATTGGATGCAGTCCTATCCAAGTTGTGTAAAGCCCATCTTTGTTTTTATGTACAAGCGATAGAAAAAATTTCATTTGTTCTGCAATTAATTTAATAATTAATATAGTTTATGTAACATACGTATATTTATATTATATATGTGCTTCTTGAATTTATACATACAAATAATATATATAGAAAATAATAGCAAAGTTTTTTTACCATCCTGAGACCTGATCGAATTAAATAATATTTCAAAAAAAGAATAATCAACGGTTCCGGGAATATGGCTAAGTTTTTTCCGCATGGTATTATAGGCGCACATTATCCATGCAATCTTACAGAATATAATAACACTAATAGCGGATATTATCAGCAGGAGAAGACTCATCGTCGTAGTCTGCGGTTGTTACAAAAAACAATTCTATTTACACAAATAATCGATCTTTATATATACTCCATACATAGTCTTTTATGCAAAATTCCGATATTCCAAGTATTTTTCCAAGTTCTGTTTTTTTTTTGTAAATTTATGATACCTATTATTTATACATTATGTGCATTTTGAGAGTAACTCATTTGTTTTGTAAATTATTTTTTAAATACATGTTTGTACGTTGTACGTTACTGATAGGCAGATCTATTATTTACATTTTATGTACATTTCAAATATAATTTAAATATATTTCTTTCTCTCTTTTACGAATTATTTTTTTAAAGGATTGTGTTACTGATAGGCAAAGTATTTTTAATTCATTAGTTTTCTGTGAAAAATGGTTTACGCATCTGCTAGCAAAATAAACAAAATATAGAACGATACATTGAACGGTACACTTAAAATGGTATAATAAGTGGTCACACACACACATAACACACATAAATGCTAATATGGGAAGCAGTTCTTTAACTCATAAATAATCCCGTTTGCATCAATATAACATTGTGTTTGATTTTTTAAAATAATACAGCTTATTATACTTTGTGCTATGTATATTTTGAAATTTTTAATGACGTAGATTTGTGTGATGTATTTCTCTCTGTATAATTTTACGTTTTCAGATGAAGAAAATATCAAGAGATTAACTCTAAATTTTTTATTAAATTATGACATTCTTGTATAATTATTTTTCATATTTATCTTTTTGCAATAGAAGATTATTTTAGAATTATTTTATCATTATATGGCTTTAAGCAAATGTTATCTATTAATTTAAAATTTGCAAGATATTATTGTTTAAACAATAATTTATGAATTTATTTTGATTGAACCAGGCGACGTTGTAACTCCAGCCGCATCGGCGACGATGTAGAAGACGGTGACCAACAGGTCGGCCACTGACAGATGAAGGATGAGAGTGTAGATCACCGTGCAGCCTCGCTGCTTTCGACGATTCTTTGCGATTGAATATATTGTCGCCGCGTTGCAGACCAGGCTTAGGACCGACATGACCGCCAACACAATAACCTGGAGGTATACCGCTCTGGTCAGTTTAGACGCGTGTTTCAGACACGTAACATTCTCGGCCGATTGTCCGACGAGAGTCTCGTGGCCGACGAAGTCGGTGAGGTTGTCGCAGGGAATAGGGAAAACGGCGGAGAGACCGGTAACGTTCGCTGATGAACCGTTGCTGCTGTTGATGATCGTCGACAGCTTCATCGTTCCCGGCATCGGCCGCACCTCGTTCCCTTGGACGAGGTTTTCGGAGTATTGGGGGCACGATGTCGACGTTCGAATCCGTGGCTCCATTTCTTTAAAGAAATCACACGGTCACCTCAAAAGATGAGATGCATATTCCGCAAGACCTAGAGTGGGAAGGATGATTTCAGGAATCTCGTCGAGTCTCTGTCTTCTTTTGGGCTCTGTCAAACTTGTTTCTATGATTCTCCTTCGAAACGCGATCGCGTTTACTTTACATTCAGTTTGACGATGTGGGGGAATGAAGCAAGTTTAGTACGCGAGGGATATCATGTGCGTCAGAATGATAGAGATTCGACCAGAAAGCATCAGGAGATGTTTGAAGGATATTCTTATCTGTTAGAAGAAACAAAAGCTGTAAATAATAATATACATATAGGTATGTATATAAAATATATATATAGAATTATAGAATGTCCGGAGTCAATCGCACCAACCGTCGTGTGCAGATAGAGCAGGTAAAACTGACGAGAAAAGTCCTTTACCATTTTACGATTTTCGCAATAATTATCGAAAAATTAATTAAATAAAAAAGATCGATCCAATATAAGCGCGCAGCGAGAAGAGACAACCCAAAATTCTGCGGTCGCTAGGCGCGCGAAGAAGTTTTGGAAGGAGCACTCTACAAATGACAACGGTTACATACGAGCAGTGCATAACAATGAATTCTTGTGTCCTAGCAATCACATATCAATGGGCCATATTTCTTTTGCGTGCGCTAATACTCGCGCGAATTAGCCGATCTTTTTTAATTAATTTCTCGATAATTATTGCAAAAATTGCAAAATGGTAAAGAACTTTTCTCCTCAGTTTTACCTGCTTTACCTGCACACGACGGGTGGAGCGATCGACTCCAAACACCCTGTATATACATATAATACATATACATATAGCAGATGTCGTATTAATTCGAACGTATTTGAGGCTTAAAAAATGAATTCGTATTCATATTCACATTTTGTATTTCAAATTTATAATAATAAAAGTGCGTTATTGAGATAATACTAATTTTAATTCTATATAATTCTATATAATTTTATATAATTCTTTAATTCGATATCTTCGAAAATATTATAAAACAAGATAATAACAATTACATTGGCTTTTTATCTTGTATATATGAAAGAGTAATTCTGGAATCTTTAACTTATTTATTGTAAAATACTTCTTCAATTTATTTGTTTAATTTATTTATTTACTTATTAACCAATATAATTTTTGCAATAATTATAATATAAGAGATCTATATTATAATATAGTTATAATAAAAGAGCATCTCTTATCACAAGAAAACACAAAAAGAGAAAGAGAGAGAGAGAGAAAGAAAATATTTATGAAATTTTACTAAAAGATAGCTTTGTAAATTATTATAAATTGTTAAATTACACGTAGAATTAAATTAATATTAATGTAATTAATAATATGTGATTGTGAAGAACGACCCAGAGATAGCAAAAGTAGTCATTTTGACGTCGTACTTTTACTATCTGAGGAATTCATGTTTATCTTATCATTTGAATAGCAAGTAAAGAATTCAGAGTAATTCGATCACGGATTATGCACGAGTTTTTTTTACAGCGACGTAAACTGGTTTTGAATAAAAGTTGGCCTTGAACGCTATTGTAATCTTTCTCGTATTTTGTTTCTGAAAAACCGAAAACTAAATGATTCACTAATTACTTCCCTTAATTGCGTCAATATTTTTTAAATTAATTATAATTTTTATAGATTTACATGCATAAAAGAGAGAGAAAGATAAATTATAGATGTCTATCCATTTTATATAGCTTTATCTAAATGTGATTCGATAATTTATTTTCAAGTTAAAGATATAACTTTAAATGTTTTAAACAATTTGAAAAGTTGCAAAAAACAATATTAAATTGTATAGTGTATTTATATACATTAAATAATTATGTTTTTTATAAACAACTAATTATCTGAGCATTCATTATTAATAATTATTTTCTCGATAAATTTGGATATTTAGCTTTTCTTTAGTTAAATTAATATAATGTGTTGAATAAAAAAAATTTGTTGTAAATTACGTGAACATTTTTTCTCGAGACATGATTGCGTTATTTCGTTGATAGATAAAGATAGAATCATTCTTCTTTATCTCAGTTCACAGACTTTCGAAAGTTGCACTCGATGATAATTTCTCGATATTCTTTTTCTTTTCTTTAACTATTCAATATTTTTGTATGTTCAACGTGAACTTGAAAGTTAAAGTGAAAGATGAATCATATGTTTTGTGCAAAATCAAATGCGATTTATGATAGATTTAGTTTTGACGTACGGAATTACACTGTTGTTTTATGCACGCACAAACGCAACGACGTTTCATTCACACTGCGTATTCTCGACTGATCGTAAAATCAATACAAATCTATCTCGCTCGCCTGGCTCTCGCGTATTATCTTCCTTCATTACCTTGATGTTTTCTTCGCGTCTGAACATATTTCATTGAATGTTCTACGATATCTACTGCAATTTAAATTAGACACTTGCCTTGGCAAATTTATTCTAATGTATTATTGTACATGCTGCGCATTTGAAGCAATTTATAGATCGGCGATACTATATATAATAAATAGCTGTCTCGCGATACAATGAAATTATACAGAAAGAGAAGTAAAAAGAAGTTTTTTGTTTATAAATTCTTATCTTTTGTGTATAAAGTCTGATTAATTATAATAAATCGTATATTTTTAGCATTAAACACATTAAAAGCTCGCTTTATTCCCTCGGCAATAATTGAAGATGTATAAATTCCTCACTTGGTCGCAAAACCATATAACTGCGCATGGTCATTTCCTCATGCGTTTTCATACTCTTCACTCTCCACTTTCTGAGTATTGCTGCTAATATGATCTTTTCTTCAATTGCAGCGAATTTCTGTCCGATACAGTTTCTTGGTCCAGCGCCGAATGGGATGTAAGCGTATGGATGTATGTGCTTTAAATTCTCAGGTAGAAAGCGATCCGGATCAAACTTTAATGGATCCGACCAGACTGCTGGATTTCGATGCACCAACATGATTGGCGCTCCGACCGAAGTATCTTTCGGAATTACATAATTGTCTGAAATAAGAGAATATGTGTAGAGTTTAAAGGAAAGTGACTCAATTGTTTCATTCATTCCAGATCCACAAAATGTGTAGCTTCCAATTCTTCATTATCGAACTCATTGAATCAAACTCGTTGAAAAGTTTGAACACGAATCATATTTATAACTCTGCAGATGACAGAATCAGAGAGCATTATATAGCCGAAGAAAGAAATTTCAAATATTTCTTGAAAAGAGTTAACAATCAAAATTCATTTTTCTCTTATTTTTAAACTTAAGAACTTCTTATTCTCTCTGATTAATAGCGTAGTCAAAATACACTTTTTGAAGATAAACTGCTATATGCGATCATATTTTGTTCTTACATTGCGTCGATTTCTTTTATTGTAAAAGCTTTAAAAGTATAAATGGTTTGTAATTCAAAAATAAGACATTTTCAAACATTTGTTTATTTTTCTTTTATAAATCGTTTTAACGCAAAACAAGCATAGATAGATAAAAAATATTTTGTTGTAAAACCAATTACTAATATATATTATACTATACATATACATATTTTCTAAGTTTCAATCTTCTAAGAAAAAATGTTAACTCAAATTGCATTTACATTTTGTATTGAATTGTCTGCTCATTTTCAAAGATTTGTATTGATTAAAATACAAAAAAAAAATCTTACCCATCTTTACGTCTTCTGATATTTTTCTTAAAATTGCGGGTATGCTTGGATATAACCTGCGTGATTCTTTTATAACCCTTTCGAGATATTTTAATTGTGAAAGCTCCTTTACGCTGGCTGGTCTCTGCGAATCTTTGAAAATCTCCTTCAGTTCTTCATGAATCTTTTCTTGACATTTGAAATCATTGCCTATACAAAAGAGCGCCCAACTGACGGAAATCGCTGTTGTGTCATGACCCTGTTATTATACATTATTATTTAAAATCAAGAATTATATTATCAAAATATAAAGAAAGAGAAATATCAATCAAAAGACTTTTTATCACATTTCACTCACTGCAAATATGAATGTAGTCACGTGTCCTCTCAAGTCTTCATCATTTAACAAAACGCCGTCTTTTTCATTTATGTCCAGTAAAAGATCTAGTAAGCTCTTTCTTTTCTGCTTGTCTAATTTAATTATATATTTAATTAGAAAAAAAATCATTCGACATATTTTTTTATTAATTATAGCAATGTATCTTCGTACTTAGTGTATTGGAATCATCCTGCTTATTTTGTGATTTATTATCCTGCATACGCGCGAATTTTTTCTTTCGTATTATCTAGAAATTGCAGTATTCTTATTATCTATCAAAGATCATGCTATATTAATGGAGATGATATTTATAATGAAATGATATTTATAATTGTAATTATTTATAATTATAATTATAATTATATATTTTTGCTGACTTTATGCTGACCCAGCCGAAACATTATACAATCAAAATTCTTACCTCGTCCATAATGCTATGCATACTGTTAATTGTCGCTTTATATTCTCGTCCCTGGGGTAATAAATAATATATCCAATCATACATCCACAGCCATGATCGATGCATACGCAATATATTTAGTTTAAGATATCTGAAATATATTTTATTATTAACTTTTTTATATCTTAGTTAAAAGAATATTCGGTAAGAATAATGAAACTGTAAAGTTTTCATTATTATTTCATTCATTCGTCATTTTTTCAGCCAAACTGTTTACTTTTGTTTCATTTTAATTAGACGTTGCATGACTAAAAATTAATACTTAATTAATTATATAACGCAAGATATTTTTTGTGAGAAAATATTTTATATAAGAAATGTATATAATTATATATAGGAATTGTATATAAACTGACCTGTTTACAGCTAATCGATATGACGTAATTTCTTCATCATTTACATTTACATCCATCACAGTTTCTAAGGAATCATTAATATGGTTTATCTTTTATGATAAAACTATATCAATCTGTTATACATACATATTAAACGCAATATAAGAGAGAAATGTACAGTCATAAAAGAACGGGTATAATTATTAATTATACAGTATAATATATGCGTACTAAGAAAGTGATGCACTTTTTATGAGTTAACAAAGTTTTGTGAATGTGTAATATAAAATCGTTATTCAATTTTCTTTGTTCTTAAAGGTGCTACGTGAGTATCAAATAATTATTTTCTACTATTAAAATTGTTCATTTGTGAGTTATTTTAGACTTACAATATATCCTCTTTCTCTTTTTTTTTGTGTCGTTTTCTTACCACATATAATGTTGAAAGTGATCTTTTGCATAAATGGAATAATATCAATAACTTTTGTCGAATCTTTTGCTAACTTTTCTTCAATGCATTTTATTATAATTTCCGTTTTTTCGGACATGATGACAGCGAATTGTTCCAGTATATTAAAATGAAATACAGGCGAAAGTATTCTTCTATCTCTATACCACTGTTTAACTGAAATATTCGATGCATTTATGTATTACAAGAATCTCGCTCTCTTTTATTTTATATGCTCTTTTACTTTATATCTATTATAGCTATGACTACTCAACATGACAGTCTCTTTGTAAAATGTATCTCCAAAGTGCTATTGTATTATTTACCTGGAGCAGTAAGAAGCCCATTACCTAGCCATAGTTTTAAGATGTCATATACTTTGGCTTTCTCGACATGTGTGTAACTTTGGAAAATGCTCTGTAAATTTGTAAAAACAAGATAATAATTCAACGGCAACGGGGGCATAACAATATATGATATTTCACAAGTTTGCACTTAAAAGAACAGTATTCTGTATATTTTATAGAGAAGATGGTATTTAATAATTCTAACATTTATACTATTTATAAAAAATTATTCACTCAAAAAAATAGGTGAAGTATACCCAGGTATTTAGTAATCTGCTGATTTGCAAATTTTGAGAAATATATATTGTATTTTATTTTATGTATGTATTAGAGAGAGAGAGAGAAAAGTTCACAACTGAAACGTGGACGACAGTTGTTGGTCCATAAAAGTCTCACAATCAGTCTACATTTCATTTGAACGTATCTAATATATAATTTATAATCACTCTTTTTAAAACACATATATTGAGAATATACTGCACAAAATTACCATTATTGTATAATAGACTATTATTATATATATAATAACGTTTTCAAATTATTTCTTACTTCTAAAAATTCTGGTTTCAACACGTAAACTATTGGTTGCAGTCCTACCCAAGATGTGTAAAGCCCGTCTTTGTTTTTCTGTAGAACCGATAGAAAAAATTTCATGTGTTCTGCAATTAAATTAATAATTAATATAGTTTATATAACATACATATAACATACATATATTTATATTATATCCGTGTGTGTGCTTCTTTTAAATTTTTATACATATAAATAATATATATAAAAAATAATAGTAAATTTTTTTTACCATCCTGAGACTTGATCTGTTTGGATAATATTTCAAAAATAGAATAGTCAACGGTTCCGGGAATATGGCTGAGTTTTTTCCGCAGGGTATAATGGGCACACACTATCCATGCAATCTTATAGAATATAATAACACTAATAGCGGATATTATCAGCAGGAGAAGACTCATCGTCGTAGTCTGCGGTTGTTACAAAAAACAATTCTATTTACACAAATAATCGATCTTTATATATGCTCCATAAATAATCTTTTATACAAAATTCCGATGTTTCAAGTATTTTTCCGAGTTCTGTTTCTTTTTGTAAATTTATGATACCTATTATTTATACATTATGTGCATTTTGAGAGTAACTCATTTGTTTTGTAAATTATTTTTTAAATACATGTTTGTACGTTGTACGTTACTGATAGGCAGATCTATTATTTACATTTTATGTACATTTCAAATATAATTTAAGTATATTTCTTTCTCTCTTTTACGAATTATTTTTTTAAAGGACTGTGTTACTGATAGGCAAAGTATTTTTAATTCATTAGTTTTCCGTGAAAAATGCGCATCTGATAGCGAAATAAACAAAATGTAGAACGGTACATTGAACGGTACACTTAAAATGGTATAATAAGTGGTCACACACATACATAACACACATAAATGCTAATATGGAAAACAGTTCTTTAACTTATACATAATCCCGTTTGCATCAATATAACTTTGTGTATTAGTTTTTAAAATAATACAGCTTATTATACTTTGTGCTACTATATTTGAAAATTTTTAACGACATAGATTTGTGTGATGTATTTTTCTCTGTATAATTTTACGTTTTTAGATGAAGAAAATATTAAGAGATAAACCTATAAATTTATATTTCTCAATGAATAAAAGTTATCACATGTTTCCTCGTTCTTCTCTATAATTCTTCAATCAATGATAACAACTTTAATAACGAGCGAACAACTTTATATATACAATGATTTCAGCGATAAATGTAGATTTGTATGTTAATATATTATCGGAGTCAGATATAAAGTAGATAAAGAAGTACACACAAAAAAAATATTATTCTATTGCTAAGTAAAATGATTACTCAGTTTACTTTACTTCTTTTAAGTAACAGTTATCTTTAACAAAGAATATTTTCTTAATAATAGTCTTAAAATAGACTTGTCACAAATTTTAGAAATACTCATTATCATGTACTCAAAAAAAGTAAATATTTTCTTTTGAAGAATATTATAAAATTTTATCGAAGAAAAGTCAGATATGGTTAATTTAATGTAAGAAAATTTAATAGATCAGAAAAATTTAATGTATTTCTTTCAATTATATAATTTAATATTCTTGATTGAAATATTAAATTTATTAGGATTCAGAATATATTTTGAATAAATTTGATACTTATAATGAACTTATGATAGATTTGCGGATATATGAACTTTTGAAATACTTGAAACAAGTAATATTTACTTGTATATAATATGTATTTTTCTGTGTGTACTTGGATGGATCAAATATAAACGAGACTTGTTAAAAAAATATTTGCATTCAAAATTCGAGGCCATAATGATTCGAGTGCAGTGATTTTTCGAAATCGTAACTCATTCTCAATGATCGTTTGCACGTTTCCATAACTTATGCCAGTCCCGTTACTAATTTCACAAACAATTATTTGTCGGTCGTCTTTAATAATATCGCGAATTGAATTGAATGTTCTCAAGCGTAATGCTCGTCTTTGATCGACGCGCATGAGTCAAATTTGCAACTTCTTCATGACTTTCACAAAAAAATGTATACTATTTGTATATATTTGGGGTTTCGATAATGTGTTCTTACTAAACTGTATGCGTAATCTGCACAAAATTTCAGCTGGTTTAACATGTTCGCGCATTAAAAATTTAATAATTATGCGCAACCGAAACAGGCATCTCATGTTTATTCATCGTGCTTACTATTAAACAACCGATTGTAGAAACAAATGCGCAGCTTAGAGCAGGTCAAGACTAGACACGTCAACCAACACTATTATCACAACAACGAGCGTATTCTGTTCTTTAAAAAGTCTTGTTCATATTTGATCGACCTATGTATATTGTCAACCTTCATAAAGCGATAATAAAATTAAGGCTTGGCGCTATCGTATTGAATATTATTGACGCATTTTATTTCAAATTCATATTCTGACGGTATCTTATCATTTTAGTTTCTATCAAATACGAATCTCATTGGTTTAATTGATTATGTTTGTACTATAACATATCGAGTTACCTAAAAATTTCAGAAATTGAATGCGATTTGTTATATTATTAGATAATCGAAAACGTAGTTGTATGATCTATGTTTAAGAAAACTGCAGAAAAACCATATAAGATCACAAAATGATTAAAGAGAGATACAGAAAAAATTAAAATTCTGTCAAATATCTGTAAGAAAAATAACGAGAATCTTTTATCAAATTATGACATTTTTGTTTATATTTATTTTTCATATTTATCTTTTTGCAATAGAAGATTATTTTAGAATTATTTTTCCATAATATGGCTTTAAGCAAATTTTATCTATTAATTTAAAATTTGCAAAGCATTATTATTTAAATAATAATATAATAATTTTGATTCAACGTATTCTGTATATGACAATTGAGGAATTGTAGGATTTAACTTAGTTTCAAAGAAACTTTTGACTCCATTGATTATAATTAAATTTCTGTATTACTTCAAAGCGTAGCAATAATCATTCTCTGCTCTGCGGAATTCGTTTCTGCTTCAAATGGTGTAAACGATGTGTCGTAATCCGACTTTTGGATGCGTCTCAAAGCTTTTGGCCCACATTCCATCCGTTACCGCAATACATAAAACTTCGAGGACGTGAACCGAATCCCGTAGTGACGTTATTATTCCTCGACGTCATTATGCAGCGCCCGCGTCTCCCTCAAGGATACCGAGAGTGATACCGATAGTGATCGAGAAGACGCGATAAATCAGGATTTCCAGAAAGCTCACCAGCACACCCTTACCCGCCAGACGAGAACGTCGCGTCGTCTATGATTCTCCGCGACTCTTATCCGCGTTGCGGCTCGATCCTTTGCGCCTACGTTGTAACTTTGGCAAATGTCATTGTGGTGAAAAATACGAGACGTGTACCAAATCGGATGCGCACCTTAGCTGAGCGACATTCTTGAAAAACAGAGATGTATTTTATAGAAAGTGACGCGCGGATATGTCTCAGATACAATTTAATATAGAATATATGCAGCTATATACTAAATTTTTCGGAAGTCCTAATGATTCTCTGTGACAAATGTAACTTTTCACATTTTCGCCTTTACGGTATCTCTTCTAGGATTTATTGGCGATTCGGCGGCACTATTTTTACGGGGACCGCATCGCGTCGTCCGCCTCGTATTTCGATCTCTCGCTATAACGGCCGAAGGCTACGCGTCGCAAAGCCTCGGAGTGCTTTTATTTTACGTAACGGATTTTCCGATAAAGTATCGCGCTTCGACGTTCACCGTTCGGCTCGGTGTAAAATGTTATCCAGCTCGTAAATGCGCCTCCTGGGACGCGTCCTCGCTCTTCTTACATAGATGCAAAATATATAAACGGGATATACATATACATATATATGCACGCATATCCTTATCATCACATGTTGAGAAATTGTTTCTCTATCTCACGAACGTCGATCCGCGAGCGCGCGCGCTCTAGTATTGAATGAATGACAGCGCGCGCGCTGTCGAAGGATGGCGGGGGAGGGGGCGAGTTCGCGAGAAATAAGACAGCTGTGGCTACTACGCGCGTCACAGCGCGTACGCTCAGTCACGTGTCATGAGAGGCGCGCGGTCGCACGTCTTAATTCATATATCGTCGGTACTATTGTTCAGAAGGGAGTAGCAGAAAGTTGAGACGAATCGCATGTGAAAGTTGAAAAGTGCATCGCGATAATAATTCGCTTTACATCCTTTCAAAGAAAATGTATTATATTATTTTGCGCTATGAGAATAATTTCTACGGCATAATAGTATCTTCATCTATCTCATATTTATAAAATATGATAAAATATAATAAAATATAATAAAATAAAAGAAGAAATTTATTTTGCATTTCATATCGAGAACAGTTTTCGAAATAGTAAAAAAGAATTTTTTATATATTGACAATCTCACATTTATTTTTACCTTTGATTTATTTTAGTACTGGTATCAATGGATGGGGGAGGAAGAAGGGATGGTCTACTGCAATAAATATACTTTTTTATTTTACTGAGCTCTCTTACGAAAGAAGCTGCATTTAAATGGCTCGGTTGTATTAATAAATTAAATTGATGCTTTCAATTAAATTCTCCAGCTTATTAGTGGTCATTGAAGAAGTTGTTTCGTCGGAAATATAAAACAAATTAAAATGAATCTTTTCACTGAAAACTACGAAACTTTTTGCATCGTTTAATGCAGCTTCTTTTGCCTTGGCTTGAGTGGCTCGACTTGGGAGTTGACGTGTAGCGGAAATATAAAGCGTTGCTCATGAATCGTTTATGATGCAGATGTTATAATTATCGTTTAGATGCATCTTGTTGAGCATTTATTTTTATTTAGCCGTTGTGTACTAGAGAAGGGCAAAACTTCTCTCGTAAAGTCACCACCAAGTTATGCTGGAAATTCCGCTTTTCTTTCTAATTTCTTCGCGGGAAACGGCAGGGTTTAACTTTCCTTTATCGTAGTTGGAATTGCTGCAAATTTAGCCTGAATAAATTACGCCGCATTCAGTGTGACTTAAAGTACACAGTCTGGGAAATTTTATTCCATTTATCAGGAAGAGATTTACATGTTCGGGATAAATTCTCTGTGTGATACAGAGTCTCTGGTTTCTTAGATATTACATAATTTTTTTTTTTTTTAAATCTAGGTAAATGGTATAAAAGACAATCGAAAATATATATAGAGGAATATTTCACGAGTCGTACTTTATTAAACAACCCACATTAAACAATCCTAATTTCTGCAACATAAGAACGTATGCTTGGCATGTAAGCGGTTTGATTGTCGGTTAATGTTAATCGAGCCTTCGAGAGGAATTCGAATCGCTCGGATCGATCTCCTTTGCGGATGATGGTTCGCTTTGCGAAGAGTATTTTCAGGTTGCTCGATTTTACGGCCCATTCGAAATGGGAGTTGACCCGGTTCACGTGTTCCGGCTCAGTAACCAGTCCAGTGATGTACCACTGACGAGTCGGAGCCGGGGTGGGGGAGGGGGTGGGAGGGTAGAAGGGGAGGAGGGGCAGTTTTGCGATCCGCAAGGGTCTACCGCGATCCCGAAACGATTTCCGATCTCGATATTCCCAGGGTTCAATCTAACT